CACCAGGCGGCTGCACGCAAGGCGAGACCCCCGTCTCTCCCTATTAAACAGAACAGTAACTTCTTCGGCCCCCAACTCGATTCATATATAAAATTAGCCCCGGGCCTCGTCGGGCCTCAGGCTGGTTTTGAACTCCTGACCTTGAGCAATCCGCCCGCCTCGGCCTCCCAAGAGCTAGGATTACAGGCGTGAGCCACAGCGCCCGGCCTATTTTTTTAAAGTCAATATTTGTAATACATGTCAGAAATTACACCTGAACTACTTGAAATTAAACATTTAAACTCATTAAATCTATGATGAAAAGTTTCAGATGTCAACTTAAACATTTATGAAATACATAAGATACACATAGTTCTCAGTCTTTTAGAACACTCGAGCAAAAAAAAATTTTTTTGGAGACAGAATCTTGCTCTGTTGCCCAGGCTAGAGTGTCACGGCATCAGCCTAGCTCACCGCAACCTCCAACTCCTGGGCTTAAGCAATCTCCTGCCTCAGCCTCCCCAGTAGCAGGGACTACAGGCTTGCACCACCACACCTGTCTAAATTTTATCTACTTCTGGTAGAGATGGGGTCTTGCTCTTGTTCAGGTTGGTCTTGAATTCCTGACCTCAAGCAATCCTCCCATCTCAGCCTCCCATAGTACTAGGATTATAGGTGTGAGCCACCATGCTTGGCCTCTCAAAAATGTTTTAAGGTCAATGACCTAGTCTATACCTGAACGCCTGAAATGACAAGGAGAAAAAGAATCATTCACACCAAACCAACTCCACTGTATCATCAGGCAGCCAATAAAACAAAACTTTTTAAAAATTAACAAATTCCAACTCCTTTAGACTTCTACCCATAAATTTACTCTCAGCACACTCAGACCTAAACCCAACATTCCAGGTGTGAGCCTAGCAATGCTAGGGTGAAGTGATGCAAACTTTCTCATTCCAGATTTTGTATTTTCCTAATACAATCTAATGCAGATCACATAAGTTTTTTTCACAGCCTAACCACACCACTGATTGAGACAGTGATTGAAAGTCCACATATTTTTATTGCAGGAATTCCTGCAAGGTCACATCTCCACTCTCATAACTGGTACAGTTGATTTTTCTTGGACCCAAGTGAAATTTCTCACTCTTATGTTTCTCCATTTTATTAAATAGTACTGGGCAAATCTTGAGACCTTTTAGCATTCTTGCAGTCATCAAAAAGATGACACTTTCTCTGTTCTCTTCATAAAGGCAATAAATTTGATAAGCACACCTTCTGGATACATTTCAAACATATACTGTGTACAAAGAAATTTCCAGCTCAGATCACCAGAATTCCAGCTGTAAGTAGTGTCCACAAATTAAATTTCTCCAGACAGACGCTCAAACTCATGATTCCATCTAATTCTATCACAATCTGGCACATTCCACCATCTCACTCACTAGGTTATCATAAAGGATTTAAAAAATGCCTTGCTAAAATTTTGACACTTACCACTATGGTTACTGTACGCCTCTGAGATACCAATTTGGATGTCCTGTAGTTTTGCCTGAATTTTTTTCTTTTTTGCAAGACAGGGTCTCTCATTCATTCCCCAGGCTAGAGTGCAATGGTGTCATGATTGCTCACTGCAACCTCAAATTCCTGCCTCAGCTTCCCAAGCAGCTGGAACAGACGCTTGAGCCACCATGCCCAGCTAATTTTTTTTTTTTTTTTGAGACTGAGTCTCACTCTGTTCCTCAGGCTAGAGTGCATCAGCCTAGCTCACAGCAACCTCAAACTCCTGGGCTCAAGCAATCCTTCCGCCTCAGCCTCCCAAATAGCTGGGACTACAGGCATGTGCCACCATGCCCGGCTAATATATATATATATATATTTTTTTTTTTAAGTTGTCCAGCTAATTTCTATTTTTTCAGTAGAGCTGGGGTCTCACTCTTGTTCAAGCTGGTTTTGAACTCCTGACCTTGAGCGATCCGCCCACCTCGGAGTGCTAGGATTACAGGCGTGAGCCAACATGCCCAGCCTAATTTTTCTATTTTTTGTAGAGACAGTCAGGATGGTCTCCAATTCCTGGTCTCAAACAATCCTACCAACTGACCCTCTCAGAGTGCTGGGATTACAGGTGTGAGCCACCGCACCGGGTTGTCTGTCTGAATTTAGAAAAACTACAGTAACCCTTTTTCTCTGGCTGATAAGACCAGAAAAATGACACATGTTCCATTTTGTATTAGTTACAGAATCTCAGGAATGGCAAAGATTTTTTTTTTTCTGGAGACAGAGTCTCGCTCTGTCAACCTGGGCCACAGTGTCAGGGTGTCATTATAGATCACTGCGACCTCAAACTCCTAGGCTCAAGCGATCTTCCTGCCTTAGCCTCCCAAGTAGCTGGAACTACAGGCATGTGTTATGATGCCTGGCTAATTTTTCTATTTTCAGTAGAGACAGGGTGTCCGCTCTTGCTCAGGCTGGTCTCCAACCCCTGACCTCAAGTGATCCTCCCGCCTCTGCCTTCCAGAGTGTTAAGATTAAAGGCGTGAGCCACTGGGCCTGGCCTGGCAAAGAATTTTTTTTTTTTTTTTTTTTGAGACAACTCTCTTGCCTGGGCTAGAGTGCCGTGGCATCAGCCTAGCTCACAGCAACCTCAAACTCCTGGGCTCAAGTGATCCTCCTTCCTCAGCCTTCCAAGTAGCTGGGACTACAGGCATGCACCACCATGCCAGGCTAATTTTTTCTATATATTTTTAGTTGACCAATTAATTTCTTTCTATTTTTTTTTCTTTTTTTTTTTTCTTTTTTTCTAGGCTACTGTGGTTAATCTTTCTATTTTTAATAGAGACAGGGTCTCGCTCTTGCTCAGGCTGGTTTTGAACTCGTGACCTTGAGCCATCCTCCTGCCTCTGCCTCCCACTAGGATTACAGGCGTGAGCCACTGTGCCCGGCCTGGCAAAGACCTTAAAACGTTTCTAGTCTAATATTTTTCAAACTATAGGTCCAGTTTAGTGAGTTTCAACCAACTTATTTTTTGCCTTTAATGAAATGGAAAAATGTCAGAGGGCATCATCTGTAAAGGATAAGCTGTGTGTGTGTGCATGTGTCTACACACAGTAGGCAGAGGCATATTGAGTCATGTTGTAAAATGTCAAAAACAATTTGAGACACTTTTCTAGTCCCACAGCCCTACAAAAACAAATGACAAGACTCCACCAAAAAATTCTTAGTAATCAAAAAATCACATTCTTTGCAACCACTTTCACTTCATACAGAGAAATGAATAGGATTTTGTGCTCAATACACCTAATATGCCATTCATTTTTAAAAAGTTCAGAATGCATCTGAGGTTTCCAGTTAAATACTAAACTGCTTGGGGACAGTCATTTCTTTTTGTGTGGAAATAAAACCTCTATTTGACAGACAGCAGTCCGAAATCAATTTGGTCTGTAACTAGAGAAGAAAAACCATTCTGGGTTGCGAGTTCCTCATCTGTAACCACAGGAGAGGACTGTTAAGACTCCTCTTAGCTCTGCAATTAAGAGATTAATTGAAAATTAACTGATCCAGCCGACAAGAACTATGCCCCCCACACAGACACCGAAACAGTTCAACTATTCAACAAGTCAACTGTTGATAAATACATTCAATATAACACAAAGGGTACTGATAATAAGAACCACAGACTTACACCAAGGGCAGAAATAAATCAAGGGAGAAGTTCCTGGGATTCAGGAAAAGTGTGCCCTGATAGGTACCAATTTCTCAGGCATCCTCTTCTCCTACACCCCAATTCACTTCTGTCCTCAAGCTGTCAGTCATAGATGTGGCACTCGCGTTCTTCCCTGCCACCCTACCTCACTGTGGAAAAGGAAACTGAGGCATGAAGCAATGAGTGAGTGAACTGCAGCAGTCCCCAACACGGCTGGACTAAGAGCCCAGGCCGCTAATGCTCCTCACCCCACACAATCCGGACTAATTAGAATCCCGCTGTCCTCAGCCTCCCACCTCAAACCAAACTCCTGGCGGCACCACTACTACCTGGCCCCAGCGCACCCGAAGCAGCCCCAGCTCCAGCCCGCCTCTAAACAAGTGCACAAGGCCTGGAACTCCAGAGCCTAAAAGCAATGCCCGTTGCCAACCCCGGAAGCCCCCTCCCACGAGTGCGCACAAACGAGCCACCTCCCCTCGCTCCCACCTCCGCGCCGTCTGGCCTGCGCCTCCGCCGCACACCACACCAAGCCGACCACGCAACAGCAGGGGACCCACGGAGGGCCTCCTCCACACCCACCCCAACAACCGCGGCCGCCGGAAGCGCCCCCACGTCTCCACGCCACCGTGGTGAGGTCACTTCCGGCGCGACGCTTTGCAATCCTGAAGGCAGGAGGTTGAGGGGCGGGGCGCCCGGGAAATTTGAAGGACTGGGAGAAACCCGCGAAGGCCGGTCTTTCAGAAAAGCGCTTGGGCCGCCATTTTGCGCGCCCCGTTTACTTATTAATACATCCGATGGAGTTTTGACTGTAATCAGGGTCCCACCCCTAACTCCCCAGCCTAGCTGCTTGCCTCCACCAGCTTTCAGGCTCGATGAAAAGCAGCCACTTTCCCTCTTGTACCCCAGCGCCAATCGCTAAACTAGAGCGAGCGGACTCCTAGCGGGGGCCTGGTGATGCGGGACCTCGTCCTTGCTAAATTGCAGCAGGGGGACTCAATAAGTAGGCCAACCCCTTGACGGATTGGAGGAAACCAGAAACGTCCTCCGTGTTTGATCTTCGAAGTTTGTCAGCTTCAGCCCGTGTTGGAGGTTAGAATCAGCCAGTCTGTGCTTGACTGCTCCCCTCTCCCTAGTACTCAGCACATGGGAAAAGGCCACCTCTTCCCCATGGCATTTTAGAGTCTTGATTTTGGAGGGCGGGGAAAGCATACATTTAGAGCCAAGACCGGATATAATAAGGAATTTTAGAGTTTAAAATTTGCACGGCCTTACTGGAACCAGCCTGACACCTCATTTGGTAACCCCTGCTTGGGCAGGCAGCATACAGTAGGGTAGTAGTTCCAAATCTGGCTCTACAAAATTAGTTAAGGAATTTTACTAAATTTCTACTTTCTAGGGATCTACTTCACTCCTTCCCCCACTCCCCCAACACCAGAGATTCCCTAGGTTGTGGTTGCAGAGGACCCTAGTCTTTATATTATTATTATAATAAACTTTATTTTTTAGAGCAGCTTTAGGTTCAGGGCAAAATTGAGAAGAAAGTACAGAGAGCTTCCATATATCCCCTGTACATACACACACACAAAACCTCTCTCCCTACGGACACCCTCAGCCACAGTGATATATTTGTTAACAATTGATGAACCATCATTATAAACCAGAGTCCATAGTTTACATTGGTGTTCACGCTTTCTATGGGTTTTGACAAGCCTATAATGACATGTATCCACCATTACAATACCATGCAGAATACTTGCACTGTCCTAAAAACACTCTATGCTCCGCCTATTCATCCTTCCCTCTGCCAATCCCTGGCAACCACTATTCCTGTTACTGTCTTCATAGTTTTACCTTTTCCAGAATGTCATATAGTTGGAACCATACAGTATCTAGCCTTTTCAGATTGGCTTCTTTTAGTTAGTAATATGCATTTAAGATTCTTACATGTCATTTCATGGCTTGATAGCTGATTTTTTTTTTTTTTTGAGACAGAATCTCACTCTGTTGTCCAGGACAGAGTGCCGTGGCATCAGCCTATCTCATGGCAACCTCAAACTCCTGGGCTCAAGCTATTCTTCTGCCTCAGCCTCCCAAATACCTGGGACAACAGGCGTATGCCACCATGCCCAGCTAATTTTTTCTATATATATTTTTAGTTGTCCAGCTAATTTCTTTCTATATTTTTTAGTAGAGATGGGGACTCACTCTTGCTCAGGCTGGGCTCGAACTCCTGAGCTCAAATTATCTGCCCGCCTCGGCCTCCCAGACTGCTAGTATTACAGGCGTGAGCCACCCTGCTGGCCTGATAGCTCATTTCTTTTTAGTGCTGAATAATATTCCATTGTCTATATGTACCACAGTTTATTTATCCATTCACCTACTGAAGGACATCTCGGTTGCTTCCAAGTTTTGGTAATTATAAGTAAAGCTGCTGTTTACATCCATGTGCAGATTTTTGTGTGTACTTAAGTTTCCAATTCATCTGGGTAAATAACAACGAGTGCAGTTTTTAGATCATATGGTATGTTTAGTTTTATAAGAAACTGCCAAACTGTCTTTGAAAGTGGCTATATCATTTTCTTTTTTCTTTTTTTTTTTTTCTTTGAGACAGAGTCTCGCTTTGTTGCCCAGGCTAGAGTGAGTGCCTTGGTGTCAGCCTAGTTCACAGCAACCTCAAACTCCTGGACTCAAGTGATCCTACTGCCTCAGCCTCCCGAGTACCTGGGACTACAGACATGCACCACCATGCCCAGCTGATTTTTTCTATATATATTACTTGGCCAATTAATTTCTTTCTATTTATAGTAGAGACGGGGTCTCGCCCTTGCTCAGGCTGGTTTCAAACTCCTGACCTCGAGCAATCCACCCGCCTCAACCTCCCAGACTGCTAGGATTACAGGTGTGAGCCACCGCACCCATCTGAAAGTGGCTATATCATTTTGCATTTCCACCAGTAGTGAATGAGAGTTTCTGTTGCTCAACATTCTCATTAGCATTTTGTGGTGTCAGTGTTAGGGATTTTAGCCATTCTTACAGTTGTTGTAGTAGCTCTTTGTTGTTTTAATATGTAATTCCCTAATTATATGTGATGTCGAATATCTTTTTATATGTTTACTTGCTATGGGTATGTCTTCTTTGGTGAAGTGCTTGTTCAAGTATTTTGCCTATTTTTTAATCAGGTTATTTGTTTTCTTTTTTTTGTTGTTGTTATTTGTTTTCTTATTGTTGAGTTTTAAGAGTTCTTGGTATATTTTGGGTAATGGTTCTTTATTAGATATGTCTTTTGCAAATATTTTCTCTCAATGTGTAGCTTGTCTTCTTATTCTCTTAATATGATCTTTCACAGTGCAGAAGTTTTCAATTTTAATGAAGTCCAGATTATCAATTATTTTTTTCTTGGTTCATGCCTTTGGTGCTGTACCTAAAAAATCAGTGGTGCCCAAGGTCAGTTAGATTTTCTCCTATGTTATCTTCTATGAGTTTTATAGTCTTTGTAGTTTTAGATTTCGGTCTACAATCTGTTTTGAGTTAATTTTTTGAAGGGTGTAAGGTGTTTGTCTAGATGAACTATTTTGCATGTGTAAGTCCACTTGTTCCAATACCATTTTTGAAAAAATGATCTTTGTCTCATTGTATTGCTTTTACTCCTTTGACAAAGATCAGTTGACTATATTTATGTGGGTCTATTTCCAGATTGCCTATTCCGTTCCATTGATCTATTTGTTCTTTCACCAATACCACACTGTCTTTTTTTTTTTTTTTTTTTTTTTTAGACAATTTTTTTTTTTTTAGTGAGTGCCGTGGCGTTAGCCTAGCTCACAGCAACCTCAAACTCCTGGGCTCAAGCGATCCTTCTGCCTCAGCCTCCCGAGTAGCTGGGACTACAGGCATGCACCACCATGCCCGGCTAATTTTTTCTATATATATTAGTTGGCCAATTAATTTCTTTCTATTTATAGTAGAGACGGGGTCTCGCTCTTGCTCAGGCTGGTTTCGAACTCCTGACCTCGAGCAATCCGCCCGCCTCGGCCTCCCAGAGTGCTAGGATTACAGGTGTGAGCCACCGTGCCCGGCCCACACCGTCTTGATTACTGTAGTTTATAGCAAGTCTTGAAGTTGGGTAGAGTCAGTCCTCCAACTTTGTTCTTCTCCTTCAATATTGAGGTGACTATTATGCATCTTTTGTCTCTCCTTATAAATTTTAGAATCAATTTGTTGATAGTTGCGAAAATAACATGAAGGGACTTCAATTGGGATTGTGTAGAATCTACAGATAAAGTTGGGAAGAACTGATGTTTTGACAATATTGAGTCTTCCAATACATGAACATGAAATATATCTCTCAATATATTTAGCTCTTCTTTGATCAGAGTTTTATAGTTTTCCTCATATAGATTACATTAGTCCATTTACTGTTGTTATAAAGGAATACCTGAAGCTGGGTAATTTATAAAGAAAAGAAGTTTATTTGGCTCCCAGTTCTGCAGTCTGTACAAGAAGTGTGACAGAAGCATCTGATTCTAGTGCAAGCTTCAAGCTGCTTCCACTCATGGCAGAAGGCAAAGCTGAGCTGGCCTGTGCAGAGATCACAAGAAAAGAGAGGAAGCAAGGGAAGAGGGAGGTGCCAGTCTGTTTTAAACAACCAGTTCTTTTTTTTTTTTTTTTTTTTGAGACAGAGTCTCATTCTGTTGCCCCAGCTAGAGTGCCATGGCATCAGCCTAGCTCACAGAAACCTCAAACTCCTGGGCTGAAGCAATTCTACTGCCTCAGCTTCCTGAGTAGCTGGGACTACAGGCATGTGCCACCATGCCCGGCTGATTTTTTCTCTATATATTTTTAGTTGTCCAGCTAATTTGTTTCTATTTTTAGTAGAGACAGGGTCTCACTCTTGCTCAGGCTGGTCTCAAACTCCTGAGCTCAAATGATCTTCCAGACTCAGCCTCCCAGAGTGCCAGGATTACAGGCGTGAGCCACCACGCCAGGCCAACAACAAGTTGTTTAGGGAACTCTTGTGGAAACTAATAGAACAAGAACTTATCTACTGCCAGCCCCTGCCCAAGTAGGAGATTAATCTATTCATGAGAGATCCACCCCTATGAAGCAAATACCTTCCATTAGGCCCCACCTCCAATAGTGGGGATCAAATTTCAACATGAGATTTGGAGGGGTCAAACAAACCAAACTATAGTATAGATTTTGTACATATTTTGTTAGATTTATACCGAAATATTTCATTATGAAAGGTGCTAATTTAAATGTTGATGGGTATTTATTTTTATTTTTTTAATTTTTTTGGTGGAGGTGCTGGGGATTGAATCCAGGAACTTGTGCTGTTGGGTATTTAATTTCAAATTGTTCATAGCTGGTATATATCCTGTAACCTCCTATAAAAAGGAGTTTTTTGTCAATTGTTTTATATTTTCTGCATAAACAAGATGTCATCTGCAAACAGAAATGGTTTGATTTCTTCCTTCCCAGTCTGAATACTTTTTATTTTCTATTCTTGTCTTATCACATTAGCTAGGACTTCCAGAATGATGTTGAGAAGTGGTGAGAGGGGATATCCTTGCCTTGTTCCTGATCTTAGTGAGAAAAACCTCAAGTTTT